GAATATATATATATATAATAACATTCTGAAAAAAAAAATGATGAAAATTATCTCCAAACAAACCCTATAGCATTCACCAGGCACTTTGTCATGATAATAACGAAACATTATGTATGTGTGATATCTCTAACTCCAAATAAGCATCCATATGATAATATCTAATAATAAAGCAAGCTAAAAGAAAAATAAAAATAAAACATATTCCAAAACTAAATCAAAAGCTTCAAGCTCCACCTCCACCACTAACAAGCACGTCCTTATAAGGCGTTGATGTCGTACCACCACCACCACCGGCACCATCGGTACGTATCTGTATCGGCATCGGAGCGATGGAAGTTGGCATTGTATCTTCTGACGATTGTCGTCGCCGGCCGCTACCCTCTAAGAGTAAGGGCACCCTACCCTCCCTCTCTCTCATGAGCCTTTCAAGGGCACCCCCTCTAAGGCTCTCTAATCTAACCTTATCCATTTTATGCATTCTGGACACTTTTATCACATTCATTAGGCCTCCAATTAGAAATAAGAGGCTCCCAAATAGGCCCAACCAGGCCCAGCTCCTGCCCTGCATGTTAACAAGATTTTTGTATTAGAATGAGAGATGCTTATTAATTAACTTAACCATAGTTTTTGATTAATTAATCTTAAGGTTGGTGGTGGGCCTTTTCCTCTTATCACCATTTCATATTCTCTAAACTTCTAATTTATTTATTTATTATTATTTTTTTATAATTACATACATGCCACCCGAAACATTGATATTTACAAATTAACCACCGGAAGTTTTAATATTTGAGACAGCATTTGAAAAATGCATAAAAGAGGGTGGTTGATTTGTAAATAAGAAGTTTTGGGTGCCCCTTAGTCTTGCATTTGAGCCCTTTATCAAACAGGGGTCTAAAAGATACTTTATTCAAACTCAATCATAATAATATTTTAATTATTTAAATGAAGTTTTAATATTTGAGACAGCATTTGAAAAATGCATAAAAGAGGGTGGTTGATTTGTAAATAAGAAGTTTTGGGTGCCCCTTTTTTTCTTGCATTTGAGCCCTTAATCCAAACTCAATCATAATAATATTTTAATTATTTAAATAATTTTAAAATAAAAAATAATATGTGATTAATCAATTAACTCTTATGTCACACCCTTCTCAAAAAAATCAAAGACTATAAACTCTAGGGGCATTTACATACATTCCTATATATTTATATATCTAACACCTAAACTTTAGTCTTTTTACATTTATGTCACTCAAATCTTACACATAAAAAATACCATTATTTTCAATTTTAAAGTGTGAAATATACCTTTTTTTTATGTATAGGTAAAGTGGTATATATGTAAAAAACAAAGTTTAGGTGTTAGATATGTAAATACATAGGAATTGAGTGGCATGTATATAAATCTTCCTTAAATTTAAATTAAAATGCTCTAATCCAAGATTTAATCAATTCATATTTTTTGTCTTTCTTAGAGATAATCCAAGAATAAAAAAAAGGGAAATTTACATACTTAGCACACAATTTTTATGTATTTACATATCTCACTCATAAAATTTCATATTTACATACATAGCACTAGAGTAGTGGTATGTGTGTAAATATGAAAGTTTGGGTGGCAGATATGTAAACACATACGGAATTTGTGCAATTTATGTAGATTATGAAAGATCAAAATCTTACCACAAGCTTGAAGGAATGATGTATTTCATATCTGCTGAAAATCCCTCCTAACAAAAACAGGAGACTGCCCATCAGAAATGGAATCTGAACGCTATTCTGCAGAATCTGGAGCAGACCGTTGGACCGCTCGTAAACCTGGCTCAAATTTTGAACCGAACCCAATAGCCAAAAAACCGGTCCGGCTATCAACAGGTTCGTGGCATGCTTCTCCAATCTCCAATTGTAGCTCTCTCTCTCCTTCTGAAATCACACCAACACATTATTCTTAATTCATATAAATTATTTTAAAAAAATCATATGTGTGGTTATATTATAAGTAAAACAATCATAAGTTAATTTATATAGAATTGATTAATCATGCACATTTAAGTAGCCTTTCGCGAGCGACAGCAGAAAGAGCTTCTTAAATCTTTCTCACGATCGGATTTGAAGAAACGAAACGAGGTTTTAGCCTCTTTAAATTATGCTACCAAACACCTCCTTAAGGGGGCATTTGGTACCATACTTTTAATAGGATTTAGTCTTAAATTTAACGTAAATCCAACCAAACACCAAAAAAAAAAAAAAAATAAAAAAAAGGTGGAAAGTTAATGAATCAAATTTTCTTTTGTTCCGTCTTTTTTTCGATGTAAATCGAATTATTACGAGGATTCAAAAGATTTCTTGAAGGGAACACATCATCAATTTTATTGTGATTTATCAGATTTACTAAATTCTATTTATTAATGTAAATCCAAATTGCAGCTAAACATCCCCTAAAATATCTCAATTGCATATTATTTTTTACTCATAAGTAATACTAATCATAAAATAAATTATACGATTTTACCTTTTCAATCAATATTTGATTTAAATTATATCTAATTAAATAAAAATAATTATTATTTTTTAAAAAAATATTTTAAAATATATAAAAATCACATTATATCAGAATAAGACCGAAAAATCATTCAATTTATTTAGAGATTAAGACAGTAATTTTTAATCTAATAATTTTTTTTATCTTATTTTAACATAATTTATTAAGATAACTCAACCTATTTTTTCCTATTCTCTCACAAGGGAAAGAAAGTTTATATGCATACAACCAAAATTTAATATGGTGGCATAAAAGAAACAATAACAGTGATACTTTCGATGAAATTAAACAATTGAGCGGTATAAATGTAAAAATTAATATTTGAATAATAAATATGTAAATAAATTGAAATTATGTGGCATGCATGCAAATGCCCAAATAAAAGAAAAAAAGGCAAAACTTATTATCCAAGATCATAAAACTTGTATTCGTATTCGGTTCGTTTGAAATTTAGTTTGTTTAAGTTTCTGTTCGAAATTGTTTGTGAATTCACTGTTCACGCCAGTTTTGACATTCCTAATATTAATATATATAAATAATATATTATATTAATTATATAACTTATATTATATAAATATATATTATCTATATTAATATATTACTAATATAGTAAATTAATATATTATTATAATTAATTTATTATATATTATAAATTTTAAATTTAATTCTTTCAAATATCATAAATTTTTTTATATATAATTATTTTATATTATTTTATATTTCGAATGATAACAATTCGGACACGAACAAACGAACGCATCACTGTTCATGTTTTGTTCCTTTAACTAACCGAACGAAAGAAATTTGTTTGGGTTTATCTCTTTTACCAACGCTCCATAAAAATAAATGAGGCAATTACACAACAGTCCACCCAAAAATTTTAATTTAAAAATCAACCCCCCTCTCTCTCGTCCATTTCTCAAAATATCACTCAAATATCAAAAAATTCGTGCCAAAACCCCAACCCATATTTTTCATTTTTCTTAAATATTAATATTTCCAATGATCTATATGCAATTATCCCCCCAAACAAAATATTAAATTACCTGAACCATAAAAAGAATGACAGCAACTGCAGTAAGAGCATCGCCGACGATGAGCCACAGAGGAACAGAAATCTCCACAAAAGCCAACTGAGGGTCGAATTCAATCAACGGGATGGAGAAATCAATGCCGATCAAATGAGCAATGAGATCATGAGCGTTGACGATCGCGATCAGAATCAAACCGATGATGATGACGGCGAGACCGGATCTGCCGTCGATTCCCGCCGGGAAAAGCTGCGCGACGAAGCCGGCGAGGAGGAGGACGGCGGCGGCGATGTAGATTCCGGCGTTGATGTATTCCCAGCTGTTTCGGGTTGTGGGCGGGCCGTAAGTGCGGAAGTCTCGCGCCGAGGATAGCTTCGCCATGGATTAGGGTTTGGGTTTGGATTTGGACAAAGGGGTTTTTGCCGATTGGCTAAAGGGGAACTGGGAGAGAGACAGGTGGAGGTGGGGTAATTGTATAGGAGAATGGGGAACTGGGAGAGAGACAGGTGGAGGTGGGGTAACTACGTGGCGGAATGCATGTGCTGAAGGGTAGTGAGCGAAAATATTCGGTCCGTACTCTGGAAAATTTGGAGTCAATGAAATTAAGTCAACACTCAAATTAATTAAAAATGATTAAAAATTTAATTCCCCACCCGTGTATTCGACTAACCCACCTTTTAATCTATTATGCCTCCGTGAATCTGGTCATTTCGCCTTTTGGTCTATTCCGTTGTTCTTCCTTACTGCTCTGCTATGGATCCTTAGAAGCTTCGATCCACCATTTTTGCTCTCGTCGCTGCTCCACGACACTGTGATAGTAATAGTGATGATGGGTTACGAGAAAAATGACGTCTTTGAGACTGAGGTAAGCTTACCTCCCCGAAATGTTATTGTTTGCATTGGTGTACGTTGGGTTATTTACGGATTACGTAGTTAACTTCACGTTTGTTGAAATATTAGGGTTTTCTTATTTTTTTGGCTTATTCTCGGATTATGTTGGGTTTTTACTATCGTCTGATATATGGGGTCTGACTATCGTCTAACTATGACAGAATAACTCGATTATAAACTTAGAATAACCTAGACCCGAAACTGGAAAAAACGAAAATTTAACTATCGGGTTATTTTCAGATTATTCTTGGGTTATTTCAAATAAATACTAAAAAAACAGAGGATAACCCAATATATTCTCAGGATTACCCCAAAATAAACAAAAATATTTTTAAGCTATCGTCTAATTATAGCAGAATAATCAATCTATAAACCCAGTAAAACCTAATAAAAAACTCAAAACTAAAAGAAAAGAATTTGTATATATTGGGGTATTATGGGTTTATTCTGGGGTTATTTTCAGATTTTTGTTGAAGAATCACCAAATAGCGCGAGCCACTAATAAGAAGGAATAGCCTCAAAATTACTCATAATAGGTTTGGAATCTTAACTAACTGGTTGTTTCCTGATTATTTGTGGGTTATTTAGGATTATATTTGGGTTATCTCGAATAAATGTTAAATAACTCGAGAATAACTCATTATATCACTAGAATAAACTCATTATATACTACCGCCTGAACCAATATGGTATCAAACTAATATAAACTCCTAAGATGGTATTAACCAGGTGTTATTCTGGTGTTAATTGGGTGTTGTTGGGTTGTCAAATTGTTTGCAATATGTTGATATTTAGGTGTTCAGAGTGTGGTGTTATGTGCATATCTGACCCTCTATATGATATAATGCCTATTTGTAGTTCTCTGACCTCGAAAAAGCTTGCAATGATCCAATTGTTGACAATTTTTTTAAGACCACTGTCCACAATTAGCAAGAAGCTTATGAACAATACTGCACCTACGCACATCATGTTGGATTCATTATTCGCAAGGATCACAATAGTTATTGGCCTAAGTCGAAGTAAATTAAGATGAAGGATTATATTTGTGGAAAAGCTGGTCACAGGAGGCAGTCACAATTAATGAATAGAGTGAAGTACAGAAAAGCCAACACAAGGACTAGTTGTCAAGTCATGTTTTGATATGCTATCGATTTTGAAGGCAAATGGACAATAAAGAAATTTATAAAAGGTCATAACCACCCCTTGTAGGAAGCCGATGATAAGCATCGTTTGCGTTTTAGTAGGAAGATTAGCGGCTTAAATGCATATTTGCTCAGATCAATGACAGGATTAGGGATTAGAGCAGTACACACATTTAACTTCCTTGCTTCGGAGGTTGGGGGAGTAGAAAACCTGAAATGTGTAAAGCAAGATGCTTATAACTTTATTCAAAGAGAAAGGAGAAGTAGAATTGAGCAAGGTGATGTCAATTCTCTTTTACAAATGTTCATGAAGCGGCAAAATCAAGATAACATATTTGCGTGGGACTTTCAAACTGATGAGGACGATAAACTAACAAGCATTTATTTGAGTGATGGGTCTTGCAGGCTTGATTACTACTGTTTTGGTAATGTCATAATTTTTTATACTAGCTACTGGTTGAATAAGTATAATTTGTGTTGTGCTCCTTTTGTAGAAGTTAACCACCATTGACAAAACATTTATTTTGGAGTTGGTTTTTTATCTGACAAGAAAATTGAGTCGTTCAAGTAGTTATTTAAAGATTTCATTCAAATAATGACTGACATGCATCTAATTACAATTTTTACAGATCAAGATCAAGCAAAGGTAAGATACATTCGGGATTGTCTATCTTGCACAAGGCATAGATTATGTCAGTGGTATATCTATAAGAAATTTTTGTCAAAGGTGCATTGTGATGTGTCTTACAAGTGTGTCAACAACCTGTTCTATAAATGCATGAACAAGTGTGATTCCGAAGAAGAGTTTGAAGAGACATGGGCTATAATGATTGATAAAGGAAACCTATACAGCAATGTATGGTTATATGAATTGTATAATATAAGACACAAGTGGTCAATAACATTCAATAAAGAAATATTTGGAATGAGAATCTTATGAACGCAAAGAAGTGAGTTCACAAATAATATTTGTCATCCTGTATCAAAACAAGATCTCTCACTGATTATTTTCCGGGTCTTGAAAATATAATAAAATCATGGAGAATGAATGAGAAGGATGAAGATTTCAAAAGTACTTAAACCATTATTACACCCGCAGTTAAAACAAGCCCTGCACTGAGACAAGCTGCTTCATATTACACGCGCAAGCTCTATTCAATGTTCGAGAAAGAGCTACTGCATGGGTTATGTGAGGTAACTGTTGATGTCTCATGTCAAAGCGTTGGCAAATTCTCTATAAAAAATTTGGATAATCTAGAGACTAACTGACCCTGGATTGTCAAATTTGACAGGGTTAGACAACAAAAGCTTAATAAATTGTTCATTAACTACATCGGAAGACTCTCCGAGTGAGAAATTTACTAGTTCACTCTTCATCTTCCTGGAATCCATACCACTGAGAGGTTGTTTTTTCCAGCTTGTTGTTGGTCTTCTGTTGGGCATGCCAATCAACAAAGCAACTTGATTTGCATCAAAACTAACCTCCTTCCTGCCCAGTCTGAATAGCACACGATCAATATCCCAACAATTTAATATGTGCATAGTTAGGATATGATCTTGAGGATATGGGGGGAGTTCAAAAAATTGATACACATTCATTTCTCTCAGTCTTCTCTAGCTCTCTTCGGAAACATTTGGTCGAACCTTATCTAATTCTTCTCTAACTGTCGAAGGACGGCATTTGTAATTCATTTTCTTCCTGTTCATCAACTTACATGAGTAAGAAATAATTTATTAACACAAACAACATAAAATTTTCAAAACACTCCTACTTCAATAACTCTTAAATAACTCTGAAATAACCGTAGGTTAAATCCCAGACCAAATCAAATGTAACACAGAAATAAACCAATAATAAGACTACAATAACCAGTGAAACCCCATCAATAAGCCAACAAAAACCTACGAATAACCTAAAATATACACAATTGCAACTCTTCAATTAACCCAACACTAGCCGGAGAATAACTTCCACGAAACCCCTAAACCCAGACAAACAACAAAAAAACCCCATAATAATCCAAGAATTACCTAATAAAAAACTCCTTAATAAACCTTAGCTAACCAAATATTATCCTGAGAATAACTTCCAGAAAACTAGGCCTTAATGCGACATTGAATCATTAACAAACAAATAATAATCCAATGATAACCCACAAATAGCCTAAGAATAATCCAGATTAACTCGTAAAAAGAACAACAAACATGACTACATTAACTCATAAGTAGCCCGTGGATAACCCATAAATAACCCAACAATTAACTGATAACAGCTGTCAAAAATAACCTACGTATAACTAAAGAATAACACAACAATGTCTCCCAAGCATAAAACAAGTATAGCCCAACTATGTACCATAACAAAAAACCAAGAATTAACCCAATAATAACTCAACAATTAACTATTGATAACTGCCAAAAATAATATAAACATAACCAGAGAATAACTGAGCAATGAACCCCCAAGCATAAATCAATCCAGATTAACTTAAGAAAAAGTACGACTACATTAACTCATACGCAACCAAAGTAAAACCTATAAATAACCCAACAATCAACCAATATTAGCTTCCAAAAATAATTTAAATATGAATAACATATAAAATAGCAATCAACCCTCAAGCATAAATCATGAACAATCCGTGAAAAACCTAAAAATACGCCAAAAATAACCCAACTATAAAAAATTGTCTGCCAAACTAGACTAAATTCAAAAATTTTACCGAAATAGAGCGATCACATATACCAGGACAACTTCTCCTCTTCAATCGCCTCTGTATTCGACTTCTTCGCATCCTTCTTCTTCCTTTCTTTCTTCAACTTCCTTTTCGGTTGTTCCTGGTCACCTTTGTTGGCCTCCTCCAACTCTGGCCTTTTAAGCTTTTCCAACTGCATATTTTTTGGATCATCGAACTTCATTTTCTCGACTTGTTCTTCCAGCTGCATTTTATTTGCATACTCCAACTCCTCTCTTAATGCTTCGAGGCTAACATTCCAACACTAAAACACCGGCTAAACCCTAGCAGACTGACGATGAGAGCTCGCGGGAGCGAAAAAGGTTCTCAACAACAGTATTTCAAGAGGTAGGATACTCCAAAAGTCGGATTAGTCGAATGTGCGGGTCGGGCATTAAATTTTATGTTTTTAAATTAATTTGAGTGCGAGACCCACCATTACACGTGGCTTAATTTCATTCGACTCCGGATTTTCCACTATGTTCGGCTTCAGACCGAAAATTTTCTTAGGGTGGTTAAGTAGTTTTAAGTGGAAGGAATTTACATTTATACCACTAAATATATATAAAAAAAAAGGATATCTACCATCAAAAGTTTATTTTGTTACATTTATGCCACCAAAATGCTTCATTTCAAATAAAAAATATTACTATTTTAGCATTTGAAAAATAAA